AGATTATGCAGAATTTAAAATACTCTATAAAAACTCATAATATTTAAGCTATCAACACAGAAAAACCTGCAATAACTTGTACAGAATTAAAATTGAATACTATTGACAAAATTCTTAAAGTGATGAGAGAGAATTAGACAGAAATTAGATCATTCCGTGAGTTGTCTCTCACGCAGCGCTCTTTTAACGTTACTAGCTTGACGTTTCATATTGCTCACTCAAGAGCAACTAACTTCACGCACACTTTGGCTTTCTCTACTTGACCTCCAAGATAGACCTTCAGTCTTTTTGCCCATTTACCTTAAATTATCTGCCATCTTTGGGATCTGGTATCAGTATAGCACCAAAGGGGGATACCTCCTTCACCACGAAAGGTCCAAACCACTTAGATTTTAATTTCCCTGAAAACATCCTCAATCTTGAATTGAAAAGTAAAACAGATTGTCCAGGTTCAAGATCCCTTTTCAAAATAAATCTGTCATGTAATTTCTTGGTCCTTTCCTTATATAATTTGGCATTTTCATAAGCATTGAGTCTGAACTCCTCCAACTCATGCAGCTACAGCAGTCGTTTTTCTCTTACACTAGTTTGGTCAAAGTTCAGCCATTTCACAGCCCAATAAGCTTTATGTTCAAGTTCCACCAGTAAGTGGCAAGTCTTTCCATACACCAACTGATAAGGAGACATGTTAATTGGTGTTTTGAATGCAGTCCCATATGCCCACAAAGCATCATTCACTTTCTTAAACTAGTCCTTCCTTGAAGTGCTTACCACATTCTCTAGAATCTTCTTTATTTCCCTGTTGGAAATCTCTACTTGGCCACTTGTTTGAAGGTGGTAAAGTGTTGCTATTCTGTGCTTGACTCCATACTTTTCTAGGACTGATTCAAGGTATTTGTTGCAGAAATGGCTTCCTCCATCACTTATCAAAATTCTGGGCACTCTAAACCTTGAAAAGATGTTCTTTTTGATAAAAGAAACAATAGTTCTTGCATCATTTGATCTGGTAGGCACTGCTTCCACCCATTTGGACACATAGTCCAATACTAATAACATATATTCATTCGAAAATGAGCTAGGGAAGGGACCCATGAAGTCTATTCCCCACATGTCAAATAGCTCTACCTCAAGTATGTTGTGTAGTGGCATCTCATGTTTCCTAGAAATATTGCCCACTCTCTGGCATCGATCACATCTCTCCACATAGTTCTTGGCATCCCTAAACAATGTTGGCCAGAAAAGGCCAGATTGCAGTACTTTGGCTGTTGTCCTTGAGCTTCTATGGTGTCCTCCATAATCTGAACTATGACAGTGCCACAAAACATCTTCTTGCTCTTCCTCTAGTATGCACCTTCTCAACAGCCCATCTACTCCAATTTTGAACAACAATGGATCTTCTCACACATAGTATTTGCTGTCATGAAATTTTTTTTTCTTTGTTGCCAACTCATCCAACTTGGAACATGATGTGTAGCCTTAAAGTTGGTCATGTCAGCGAACCATGGCTGTGACTCAATCTTGAATAAGTTCTCATCTGGGAACTCTTCTTTTATTTGCTCTACCTCAAATGGTATAGTCTCAAGTGGTAGTCTCGACAAGTGGTCAGCCACTCCATTCTCCTTCCCTTTCTTCTTGTCTTTGATCTCCAACTCTAATTCTTGAAGGAGTAAAATCCGCCTTAATAATTTGGGTTTAGCATCCTGTTTTGACAAAAGATACTTAAGAACAGCATGGTCAGTGTAACTATAACCTTGGATCCTATCAAATAAGACCGAAACTTGTCAAAAGCAAATATTATGGCTAGGAGTTCTTTTTCAGTAGTAGTGTAGTTAATTTATGCAGTGTTAAGAACTCTACTCGCATAATGAATAACATGCAGTTTCTTGTCTTTTCTTTGGCCTAAAACTACTCCTATAGCTACATCGCTAGAATCGTACATCAACTCAAAAGGCAATTCCTAATCAGGTTTGACAAATACAGGTGTAGAAATTAATTTCTTTTTTAAAGTGTTAAAAGATACTAAACACTTATCATTAAAAGAAAAATCTACATCCTTACTCAACAAATCACTCAACGGCTTTGCAATTTGGGAAAAATCTTTAATGAACCTGCGATAAAAACCAGCGTGTCCTAGGAAACTTCTTACTCCTCTTACATTCACAGGTGGTGGCAGCTTCTCTATCACTTTGACCTTTGCAGGGTCCACTTCTATTCCTCTTGCTGAAACTTATGTCCTAAGACAATTCCTTCTTGTACCATAAAATGACACTTTTCCCAGTTAAGAACAAGGTTTGAGTCTTGGCAACGCTGCAAAACAAGAGATAAATTAGTGAGACACTGATTAAAAGAATTACCAAATGCAGAAAAATCATCCATAAACACTTCTATAATTCTTTCAATCATATAAAAAAAATGGACAACATACACATTTAAAATGTAGCCGGAGTGTTGCACAGTCCGAATGGCATCCTACAGTATGCGAAAACTCCAAAGGGACAAGTGAATATTGTCTTTTCTTAGTCCTGTGAGTCGACTACAATCTAGTTGTAAGCAGAGTATCCATCTAGAAAATAGTAGTAGTCTTACCCAACTAATCTCTCCAACATTTGGTCAGCAAACAGAAGAGGAAAGTGATCCTTTCTTGATGCATCATTCAGTTTTCTATAATCGATGTACATTTGCCATCCAGTTACTGTCCTAGTAGGTATTAACTCATTTTTCTCATTCGGCACCACAATTATACCTATAGGCACTACATGAATCATATTGACCCATTGGCTATCCAAAATAGGATAAATAATCTTTGCATCTAGCAATTTCATATCTTTTTACCTCACTACCTCTTGCATAGTTGGATTAAGCCTTCTTTGAGGTTGGACAACCGATTTTCAATTCTCTTCAAACAAAATTCTATGCATGCAAAAGGATGGATCTATACCTTTCAAATTGGAAATATGTCATCCCAGTGCAAATTTGGTCTTTCTTCAAATTGCCATTTATTATTACCGGTTTGTTATACCCTTCATCAAGAAATGCATACCTTAAGTGAGAGGGTAATTGCTTGAGTTTCACTTTGGGCTCTTCTTTCTTCTCCTCTTCTTGATGTAATTCTTCTTTGAGTTGGTTCACTGCATTATTGACACATGGGAGAGTCTAGTTGCAATATGCATTCTTTCATTACTTTATCTTACTCCTCATTAATACAGCATTTTGCTGCAGCTATTGTGCCTTCCAAGACTGCACTTTCATCATGTTTCTCTAAGAATGATGGTATCACAGCATCTAATACATCAATCCTCATGCAGCTCATATCATCACTTGGGTGTTTAATGGCTTTAAATACATTGAAAATGACTTTTTCCTCTTGGACTCTTGGCATCAATTCGCCTTTCTACACATCAATCAAGACTCTCCCTGTGGCTAAAAATGGCCTCCCTAAAATAAGAGGATATCCGCATTTACCTCCATGTCAAGTATCACAAAATCTGCAAAGAAAATGAATTTGTCTACCTTGACTAACAAGTCTTCCACTACTCCATAGGGATATGTATATGATTTATCCGCTAGTTGTAATGTTATCCCCGTTGGCTTCACCTCTTCAATTTCCAACTTCTTCATGATAGCTAAGGGCATTAGATTTATGCTGGCCCCCAAATCACACAAGGCTCTTCCTACCGTGCAATTCTCAATAAAGCAAGGTATGCTGAATGATCCTGAATCCTTCAACTTTTGATGCAGTTTTCTCTATAAAATTGCACTGCACTCCTTAATGAGTGGTACTAATTTCTCCATATCCAGCTTCCTCTTCTTAAACAAGAGCTCTTTCATAAATTTTGCTTAAGAGAGCATTTGTTCTAATGCCTCTGCAAACGAAATATTGATTTGGAGCCTCTTGAACATATCTAGGAATCTTTCAAACTGCCTTTCTTGTCTAGGATCCTGCACTCTCTTTGAAAATGGTAACTTCTTGAATTGCTCTTCATTAATAGGCTTGCAGGCCTTTTCAAACTTCTGCTTCTTGCCCCTCTTTTCTTGTTTATTAGTGTAGTTTTCTCCCTCATCTCCCCTCTTCAACATGGTATATTTTCCACTTTCACAGTCTTCTTGTTTCAGCTCATTCCTCATTAGAATGGGTGACATCATCCTTCTTTCTTAGGCTAGAAACCACTACTACACTTCTTATGGTTATGTCTTGGCATTGCTTCTTTGGATTCACTATTGTATTGCTAGGAAACCTCCCTTCATCTCTATTAGCAAGTTGCCAACTGACCAATTTGAGTTTCTAACTTCTTCATAGAGCTTTCTTAATTTTTAAAGCTCGTTTGTGTCACCTTTATAGTCTGCAGTAATGTGTCTTCCATTTCATTCATTTTCTCACTCAAGGGTCTTGAATACCCTTGATTTTTCTGACGTTGTGCAGAAGAACTCCCTTGGAAATATTGTTGCTGAACTTGAGGAACTGCACTTGAAAAAAATGCAATACTTGCATTCCCTCTTACACTAGAATTTTGTGGATTCCACTTGTAGAACTGTTGTCCTCTATTATTAATAGGCTGAAAACAAGGCAGAAATAGTTGTTGTGGCCTTTGGTAATTTCCCATACAATTGACTTGATCGGATTGTTCTACAACTATGGGATCACAGGCCCCATTCACATGATTGCCACCACAAAAATCACAACTCAATTATGTGTTAGAGCAACACCAATCTGCAGGTTGCTTATTTGTTGAGTCAGGGCAGTAATCTGTTCAGAGAATTGTTGATTCTGCAATTGGTTTTGAGCAAGCAAGGATTCTATGGATTTGATCTCATACTCTCCTCTCCTTGAAGCCTGTCTTTCATTCAAATTTTGATACATTGATGAAGCCGTCATCTTTATAATTTACTGGGCTTCTTCCAAGGTTTTTGCACTCAATGAACCTCCCGTCGCTGCATCTATCATGGTTTTAGTTGCTGCAGTCATTCCATTATAAAACGTTTCAAGCTACATCTACTCCGGTATGCAGTGATAGGGACACTTCCTTAATAATTCCTTGTATCTTTCCTATGCTTCATATAATGACTCTTCATCTTGCTGAATAAAAGATGTAATTTTTTCTCTTATTTTCGCAGCTTTTGAAGGGGAAAATATTTTGTTAGGAACTTGTTCACCAAATCAGCCCATGTTGAAATGCTACCTTGTGGTTGAGCTTGGAGCCAGCACTTGGCTTTATCTCTCAATGAAAATGGAAATAATCTGAGTCTAACTGCATCCTCACTCACCCCATTAATTCTGATTGTGTCACAAAATTGCAAGAAATTTAAAATGTGCAGATTTGGATCATCTGCATGGCCTCCCGCAAATTGGTCCTGCTATACTAAATTTAAGAGTGCAAGTTTTATCTCAAAGTGATTAGCCTGGATTGTAGGTCTCAAAATAGAAGAGTTGAACTCTTGTAAATTGGGAAATGCATAGTCTCCTAGTGTTCTCAATCTTGGTTGCTCTGCCATCTTTGTTTGTCTTGGAATTTGACTAGTTTGAGGTGAAGGTGTAAAACTATCTTGCTCCTCTCTTTCAATTTGTTCAATTTTTGCTTCACTTCTCAACCTCCTTAGAGTTTGGTCAATGTCATGATCAAATACCAAAGTGGATTTGTTTTTGTTTTTTCCTCGCATATTCAAATCAAAATTAACGAAGTTAAACTAAAAATCAATATTAAGGGATGAAAAACAAAGATTATGTAGAAAAAATATCAGCAAAAACCTGTGAAATTCAAGTATAAACAATTGCAGAATTATGCAGAAATTTTCTCCACTATTATTCTAAACTTATCTATTTAAAGGCAAAATAGAGTAACTTGAATGTAATACTAAGTTGCAGAGAAAAATTTAGAAAACAAGAACTCAATCTAGCAATTTTCCTGCTACTAATGATATTGAAACACAATTCCTCGGCAATAGTGCCAAAAACTTGTTGGACATTTTCTAAACACTAGCAAGTGCACTAGGAATTGCAGCAAGTAATAAGTAAATTTTAGATCCAAGTATCGTCTCCACGGGGAATTTAATTCAATTACCACTTCACAATTAAATCACTCGTTGAGCCAAATCGAGATTCAAGTTTTGAGCATGCAAGATAAAAGCAAAGAATTAAGCAATTAATAATTCATAGAAAAATAGAGTAAAATTTGGAAAGTATATGGTGTAAAGTAGGAATGATTTCACTTCGTTGAATAGCAATCCGTTAGGTTCAAACTCAATTTCATTGAATAATTAAAGATCAATTTCGCTAAGTTAGTCAAATCCCAATCCCTTGGTATTATGACCTTAATCTTCATTTAAATTCCCTAATTCCTTAGGTGAAGTTCAAATTCCCATTACATTAGGTTCAAGAAATTATCAGACCACAAGATTAATCATGCTTATCCCTAATTCAATCACATAATTTCTAGTAATGAATTTCCTCTAAGTTCAATTCAATGAGTGATCAATTCAAAGAAAATATAAGAAAACGAGTTGAATGTTCAATTAATCCAACGAAATACAAAGTTTAAACCCTAACTAATTACAATCAATTCGAATCCATCACTCCTACAAGGGGATTTAGCAATGCATTACAGAAAATTGAGAAAAAGAAAGAGTAGATGAAGAAGAAATTATCCAAGAATCCATACCAATTTCAATTCCCAAGCAAGATTCCTCTCTCCTTGAAGCTCGAAATTTGCCCTCAATCTCCTCTCTCTCTTTCTCTTTCTCTTTCTCTAAGCACTAAAAATAAAAATGTAAAAATATGAGAAATTTTTTTTTATTCCGCATCTTGGGATCTATTTATAGAAATTATGCAATTGCCATAGTGATCACTATGAAAAATCATAGTGATCACGCGCAGTGTCAGTAGCAACTTCCCTTCCTGTAGTGATCACTATGAATTACCATAGTGATCACGCGCAACACCAACAATTTCTCTCTTTGAATTTTTCTACTGAAGTGATTACTATGAAGAATGATAGTGTTTACGTGCATGCCTAACAGCATCTGCACCAAAATTAACTTCTGAATTGATCACTATGAGTTGAAATAGTGATCACTATGCCCCTGGGCATCTCCAAAGCTCCCTTTAGTAATCACTATGAGTTGTAATAGTGATCATTATGCCTCATGCTCCAAATTTTTGCTGAAAGAGTGTTCACTATGCTTTCCAAAAGTGATTACTATGATATCCAACTTCTCCAAACAAGTTCCAATTGTGCCCAATGATTGGGACTTTCCTACAAAAGCCACAAATATGAATTATCAACTGAAATAAACTAAAATTCACAAAATTTATTGACTTTTCTATTTAATTCAATATTAAACTATTTACAAATATTTTTAGACGTTTTTATCTATTTTTTCACTGATTCTTTATTTAATTATTAACTAAAATAAGGACAAAATATGGATTCATCACTAGTTCAGCCACAAACTTAAAGGAATTGGACCACTTAACATATTAGCCCATTATTACGAAAAAAAATCAAGTTCCAAAACAAAAACATGTGCACGCCAAAAATAAGTATTGGGCCTTCGTTGCATACTTTAAGCCATCACTCTTCTAACCCTTGAATACAATTCACCATTTTGAGCCTCTCTTGATTCATGTTGGGCTCCTCTCCAAATAATGTGATCATGACTTGTTGAAGGGCCTCCTTAATCTTTTTGGTTTTTGCTCTTGTTATTAGGCTTCCAAGTCCTTGAAATGTATTGGGCTCACTGGACTCCTTGTCCTTTGACGCTTGTTCATGATCTCGCAAGGCTTGGTCTCCATCATCTCTAGACCAAAGCGAGAAGGCATCTCGCTCAAGTGAGATTATAAAAAATGATGAAGAAATTTTCTGTCTAACATTCTCGCTCAGGCGAGAATGGTCTCTCTTAAGTGAGAATGTATTCGTTCAAGCAAAAAGTTGAGAGTGAAAATAGTCTATAAATCGCTCCAGTGATTTAAAACTTAGAACATAAGGCTAGTAACCTTTCTAATATCACTCTCTATTCTTTCACTCCCTCCCCAACTAGAAAACCTCATTACTCTCTAAATCTCCCTCAAATCCAAGCTTGAACATCTTTCCTCACTTGATTCCAAGTAAGTTCTTATAGCTTAATCTTCCAATTTTACTTATTTTTCATCATTTTAGTCTTTCAGACAATATCTTTCGTAAAAAATGTTGTACCTTTTCGCTCTGGATCTCAAGAAGAAGAACTCGATTTTGTAGACCTTATCTCTCATCTCTTGTTTTGAGAGATCTATTTTCAAGTAAGAGGAGTTGATCCCAAACCCTAAATTCTAATCATGTGTTTTAGATTGAAAAACTCAAAATACCCTATTTTGAATAGTAAATTTTGTTAGAAATTTCCTTTTTAAATCATATGAAATTTTAAATAAAACTCAAGAACCATTACATCAGATTATCGAACAGAAATAGGGGAGTTTTAGGAATACGTGGATCCATTGACATTGATCAGAGGTTGCAGTAGAATACTTTTTTAGTTTTGGTGCAACCAAAATTAATGGATTCCTTAATAGGACTTGATATTTCTCTTGTAATGGGAAGACAGAGAAATGTTTCTTATTTTGGCTTATTGGGGACCATGACCAACCTTATAATTTAAAACCTATTAGGGTTTCCATTAACCCGTAACGAACTAAATTCAGTCTCCACTTATTGAGCCCATATTCCTTTAGTTATATTAATTATTATTTTTTTAATTAGTAGTCTAAAGGTTCACTAAAATTAACTCACTTTTATTGAGCCTAACAGAATGTAAATAGCTAATATAAATGCTATAAATAATAGGTATTACCCATATTAACTATTAGAAATAAATTTTTTAACAGATCTATAATATCTTCTTAAAATCATAATGTCAAGAATGGATTATTTGGATACGAAAACCTATGGTTTAGTTTAAGATTCACCTAAAACATAATTTTATAGTAAAGGTTGTGAGTAAAACAATGTTTTAAGGAGTTTTTTTTTTATGATTTTGTTATTAATTATCATATATGTGACCTATTAATTTTGAACAATGTATGTATTGGAAAATGAAAATAGGAAATGCTAAACTCTAGGATAGGTGATTTTTATAAAGATCGAGAGAGTATGATCTCTTGCAATATAACTGTAGTATGTAATTAATTTTAATGTATTTGTAAATTATACGATTAGATTGAGTCAGAAGGTATTTGACTTTCGATATATTGAATTGATTTGTATAATATGATATTTTAAATTACTGAGAAAGCATGAAATTGATTGCATGAGAAAGGAAATTATAAAAATAAAAAATTGTGTGCTTGGTTATGTATGTGGAATTATGATACATGTGTTAGAATACAGTGATTGTGTGAGTATAATATATGTATTATATCACATTGATTGGTGTGATTATTTTATATATATATATATATATATATATATATATATATATGTATATATATTGTAATACATTAACATGTGCAATTATAACACATATGTCATGACATATTGATTGGTGTGATTATAATACACATATTACGACATACTGATCAATATGAAAATGTATGCTATGAAAGAGTGACGAATATATGTGGAATAAAAGAATTCAGTACAAATTGCCATTATTAAGTTCCTATATAGATAGTTACAGAAATACATTGGAGATATAGAGTTCAGAAATAGTTTGAAACATCTGTGAAAAATTAGGGTGGTGAGTATTGTTCGCGTATGTGTACATGATATAAGCGAAAGCATCACAAGTTTCATGCTTATTTCCTGACTATACCTTTGCTATGGAGCCGTAAAACACACATATTGTATCCGTCTGTGGTGGTTGATCGACGACTATTCATACAAGTGCAAGTCTTTCATGACTAGGAAAAACATGTTGACAATGATGTAGGGGCCCATGAGTACCGTAAGTACCGATATATGATGGATCTATTGGATTTTACAATGATTAAAATGGCATAAATACAAAGATTGTATAATTAGATTTGATTAAGTGTGAAATGTTGTGCCTTAATGACTTTTGGATGAAATTTTATATAAATGAGTTACTATTATTTTAATGCATGCTTGTGTTTAATTAATGTTTTCTATATTATTAGGTTGT